AATATATCCTGATAAATCTGTCTTTTTTCTATATGGCCTGGTTGCTGCTTGACAAGCAGCATTAGCATTTTCATATGCCAATTATTTAACAAAATTGGTACCTCCATCAGTACTGCCAAATATTTTCCCTGTTGTAGTAATTAACCAATGAACAAACTCGGATGTGAGCAGGTTGTAAGATGGCAGTTGTTTTTTTGAAAGGCAACCATTTTGAATCATTGTGTTTGACTGCCTTTGTTTCTAAAGTTTTTTGTTCAGACAGCCATTTTGGGTTACTGCACATGGCAGTCTGTTTCTAAAGTTTTTTTGTTCAGACAGCCATTTTGGGTTACTGCATTTATCAACCTCAACCTCTAGGATTTCCTCCTCTGAACTAGTTGATGACTCGTTTTTCTTTGGTTCTTGTAGAGCTTTAAGGTTGCTTTTCTTTTTTAGTTTTTTAGATCTTTTTGGGTTTTGTCTTGCTTTCGGGGCTTTTAACTTCTTCCTCACTATCTAGGGAAATAAGATCCTCTCCCTGTTTGTTTTCAACTTTAGAATCCTTGGTTAGATCTGAGGTGGCTATAGCCTCCTCCTGGGATTGATCATTTTGCTCCTGGTGTTGATCATTTTGCATGATCTGCTCTCCCTTAACGAGCATAACGACAAGGGCTTCTATTAAGCTCTGAACTGATATTTTGTGCTGACTAAGCTTTTGTCCCATTATTACCCATACTTAAAATAAAACGTAAGTAAATACTTACCAGGACATCTTCTCTTCGTCCTTCTATGTCTTTCGCTGGCCTTTCTCAGGATGAGTCTCTGCTGTCCCCTTCTGTTTTCTGCCATGGTCTTTCTCAGGATGAATCTCTGCCGTCCCCTTCTGTTTTCCTCTGCTTTTCTTGCTTGCTCTGCACAGGAGCCTTCCTCAGGAGCTCTTCACTGGATCCCTCATACCCAAGTCCCTGTGCAGACGCCAAGTGTCCCATCCCATGGGACAGTTGAATAGGTTCCTTGGGGGAGGGAGTGAGAGATGGGACAAACACACGCACACACAATATGAGGTGCTGATCAAGTCTTCTTCTTCTTCCGTTTATTAAGGAAAAATGACGAGTTATATATAGCTGGTGGGCACCAATTCATTGCCCGAAATACAAATGAGATAGAACAGCATGAACCAATCATTGATGTGGTTGGATCTCTCCCATTGCCTTGAAACCCAACCACTTCTGGGGAGAACAGTTGGTCACATGATTTCTGAAAAACGGTTTGCTCAGTGAGGAAGTGAAGTCTAATGGTTTCCAAGATGGTGGATAGCTCAAGATGGCTTCTGTATGCAGTACCCGCCACAAAGAATAAGCAGGTTTATAGAAGCAGACAGCCATGTAAGGGTAAGGGAACAAAATGGATGAATAGTTGTTTATAAGTGGCCTTTCAGATTCCCCCTTCTTCTGATCTGGGGAATCAAATAATTGATTCAAAGAGGGGGAATGGCTTATAGTGGGAGTGGAGAACTATAAGCTTAACAGATTGGATCTGGTCTTGAACAAAGTTAATGAGGAAATGGAGGATGTAAGGGTCAAAGGGAAGGGCAAGGAAGAGGAGCAGAGCAGGACCCATAATGGCAGAGATAAGGTTGGTGAGTCAGGGAGACTAAGAGAAGAGAGACTGATATTATTTTTAGAGGAGTGGTGCGCTTTATGTTTCAGGGGACATTTGTGTTAGTTTTTTTTGTTTGTTAGTTTGTTTGTTATAGATTTTTTTTATGACTAGTCAGTTTTTTTTTTAATAAATTGAGTAACAAAGAGGATAATTAGGACACATGGGACAGTCTTAGTTTGAGAGGATGTTGGGAATTTTGAATATGTCTTGTTGATTTTTTTTTTTTTTTTGCCTTTCAAAGTAGTGTAGTCAGACTGGGATGGTGCTGACCTTTACAGTGGTCGAAATGATGAGGATGACTGTAGGGTCTTTTTAAGGTTGGAGTCAGTTTTTGGGTTGTAAATTTTTTGATCCATACCGAGTTTTTTGGTTGGAATGGATGGACATGTCTGAGGTGGTGACAAGCAGAGTGTCTCAAACACAGTGATGCGACACCATGGGTTGAGTCAGGGGAGTGTAAAAACTTGAGTAAAGTATAGTTATAAATTTTAGTTTTTATTTTTTTAAATTTAAGGAGGAAAGGTTAAGATTTTTAATATATAATTTTATAAGGAGAATTTTTTTATTATGGAGCGTATAAGGCTATTTAAATTAAGCATAAAGTTAATTATTTCTTAAGGCACTCTCTAGACCTTTGTTTAATAGTCTCTATGGCTTCCAGGCAAGGGTCTGGTGATTGATAGTTACACTGTTAAGAAACAGCTAAACAAAAGGATTTGGGGCTAGTTAGCAAAGACAGTAACAGGTACAAAATATCACCCCAGATGCTGTTTTTTATATGGCTAGAAAAATTATTTTTTATTTAAAAAAGCATTACAAAAACAGACAGCTATATAAAAATTTTAAAAAATATTGTTCATGTATAAAACCTAGTGTGCAGCCTTCTCCAGTACATAACTGGTTACTGTGGCTTTTCATAACAGTCTAAAATTAAAATCATTGATATGGTTGACTGCATGAATGCTCAAACAGGATAGTGTACCCAAACCATGCAAGATTACTAAACAGGAATAAAGTTAACAAATTACATGACTATTTGAATGACTCGCCAGAAAATAATGAGTTGAAAAGTGCAATCACAAAATATTAGGTAATTTGTGATCCTATCTATATAACATCCTTGAAATGACAAATTTACGCAAGTGGGAAAGAAATTTTGGTTGCAAATAATGATGTCCACAGTGGTGTGCGGAAGGTAAGTGAGATGTTACAGAACAGCAGGAAATAAATTGTGTGATTAAAAGCATTTGTAGTTTTACTAAGTCTATACGGAAATAAACTTACATATGGAACAAAATACCAAAAAATAAACACACAAATACACAGAAACATATGCAAGTAAGTAGTAATAAAATAGTGAGATGCATATAGGTGGGTAGACTAATTATATTCTTGTCAACATTGCAGTTATGATATTTTTATGTATTTGTGCTTTACTATAGATTTAAACAAGAAAATCATACACAAGAGAAAGCACAGCTCTTTGGCAGTCCTTCTTACAAGGCCAGTCCTGGGGCTGCACTTTCCCTGACTTGTCTGAGACCTTGAAATAACCCTGTGTGTTTGATATTCTTTTCCTCAGTTTTCACAGGAGAAAACTGAGGCCCATAAAGGTGAAGTGACCTTCCTAACACATAGCTAGCAAATGGCCAAGGTGGCACTGTACTGTAGGGGAGGGAGCACTTACCTTTGGAACAGAAGGCCCAGGGTTTGTTGGGAGGTGAGAAACTTTAGGTAGGCGCACAGGAAGTAGGTAATGTAGAAGGGGTTGCCTTTCTGGAAGGCTTCAGGTGCTCTTTCAGGTTCCCACAAGTGAATGCTCTAAAGGTCCCCACCTGTATGTCATCCAGAATCTGGGCTTACACATTCCAATTGGGTGGGATGACGTATGGTTAGTTAACTCAATATGATCCCCAGTCACATGAAAAACCTGGTATCCATAACATGAAGTGAAAATAAAGTGCAAGGTATTTTCTCACATATTTCTAAAAGATATAAAAACTGATTTTGCATCTGACCAAGGATAAGCTGGATGGTAGGGTAAAGGAGGGCAGGAGGCTTGGACTTTGGGGTGTAGGTCCTGTGAGATACTGAAGGAAAGCCCTGGCAGGAGCCCTGAGTGTCTCTAGGGCAGCATCTGGGAAAAAGCCTCCTCAGACATCTCCAGGCCCAGCTTGTGGAGACTCCTCTACCCTGCACTTACTTAAGCCAGCTCTACCCCTCTGTCAGCTGTATGGGTAATTGCCCTTCATCCAGACGGAGGGAGGACAAGTCTCCTGGAGTTGTCAGCAAATAGCAGTAAGGCTAAGAAGCAACAGAGCCCTTCCTGCTATTTTCACTTTCTGGCGGCACATAACAGTGTCTGCAAAGACTACCATCCTGGGATGAAACCAGATGGTAGTCCAGAGCTCACAGTTAATGTGAAACAGACATATGGGCCCTGCCCCAGCACTCTTCTTACCACCCTGCCAGCCATGACCATGCCAGGGTGTTAGCTTAATGAGCCCACCAGGCCTCTACCTTTTAACTCTTGCCCAGAGCATATTCACCTCACATGTCCTCACATTCTCCCAACTAAAGAAAGGAGTGAGGGATCAGGATGGTGGTCAGTCCTAAAGTGCCCTATGTGACCTTTGCATTCTTTCTCGCAATTGGTCAGTAGATTCAGGGGGGGAAGAGCCAAACAAATATCTGTAGAGAGGAAAGGTTCTCACTCCAAAATTTTCTGAGCTCAAATCTTTGGAAGTTGAGATTGAGAAAAACATTCTGGCTCTCTTAAAGGACTCTACCTAAGCAAGGTGTATAGGGGTTGTTTCTGAAATGTAGGCACCTAATTATCAGGGTTCCAAGTTCTGTTGGGGTCTATTGTCAATGAACTGAGACCACTTCTGCTGGTCCCTTTTTCCTGAGATCCTCAGATCATCTCTCTCACAGGTCTCCCCTGGGCTGTTGACTGCTCACCCTCATCCCATACTGTATGCACAACTGAACACAGTGATACCACATAACCCACCCACAGCTGGGAAGGCTCCCAGCTCTGAGGAGCAAGAACTGGGCTCACTGCTGGATCCTCCTGTTTTCAGTGCTATGACCTGGACAAGTCATTATGACTCTCAGGGCCACCCATGACTCCCCACTTTTTCAATGGAGATAGTTCACGCATCTGTTTTTAGAGATGTCACCAGGTGTGTGCATCTGTATACCATATAATCCATGGGCTGGTACCACATGGCAAATGGACAAACTTAGAGATAGGAGTATTACACAAAGAGGTGGGAGGTAGAATCAAATTCAATTTCAAATAGCCTGAATTCTGGTCTCAATATATGGAAAGTAATTTTTCCTATTGACTTTCCTTCCTAGTGTGCACCATGGGGATGTTGGAATTAATTAAAATTCTGATACTGACTTTCTCTGACATAAAACTTATCACGGCTTTTCCATTATATTTAGAATTAGAGGGATGGCAGGTGGCGTGATTGTTAAGGCATATTGCCAACTGTGTTTGAATCCCAAATCTGGTGGCTTATTTTCTCACTCTCATTCCTCTCCCCATCTCTCTGATCAAATTGAATAATAATAACAGTTAACAAAATTAAATAATTATTTAGAATTAGAGCCTAGTGCCTCATGTTCACTTATGGAATTGAGGGGTTCAAGGAAAACCTAATTCTAGGGTTTCTATAATTTCATCCAGCAATTCTTGCTTCCTAGTTACAGGTCCTAGTATAATGACCTCTCTGGGTTAAAATGCATCTAGTTACTGGCTTCTAGACAAAAAAGAAAATCAAAGGTGTTATGTTTATGATTCTTTCTCTCCTGTTTTTATTCTATCTCTCTATCTCATTCCTAAATCTTGAGAATTGAGCTCAGAAATTTAAGTTGCTTCATGATAAGGCTCCAGTGGCAAAGAATTAACAGAGGGCTCAAGCCAATATACATGAATTTAGAACTCAGTACAAACTGAATCCTGCCAATAACTTGTGATCTCAAATCTGAGGCCCATAAAAGTGATGTGACCTGGAAGTTATTGCCTCCTTGCCTCAGGTGGGCCTTAGTTAAGACCACAGCCTCATCCCCCTGAGAGACCTGAAGGCAAAAACACCTAGTTGAGCTGGGTCTCTGTTCTGGTCCACACTGTCAGATAATACAGGATTCCGGTAATCTACAAAATTTGGAGCAGTATCTCACATTTAATAGACTAGTAGAGATTTTCAGGCCCTGCTACCTTCCTCATTACCTCCTTGACTCCCGCCACCCACACTAGTTGCATTAAAACCACCTCTCTTTTCTAATTTACCTCTTCCACCCAGTTGCTGGGCAGCTGAGCATTTACCCTGAAACATTGCTCCTGGACACGTGCATGATTGTCTTCACTTATCTTCCTGGTCAGGGCACAACTGTTGCCTCAATGAGGCCTTTCATACCTGCCCACTCAGTGGCCCCAAGTTCTCCCTCACAGTACCTGCTTACTTTAACTTTAGAACTATGTGCTTTTGTCCAGCTCACATCAGACTAAAAGCTTATGCAGGCACAGATTGTGGTCATTAGTACAACACACCTAGTACTGTGTTTGTACAAGGTGAATGCTCAGGACACAGTTGCTGAATGAATACATGAAATTATATTGGAGCTTCATAACTACCCCTGAGCAGCTCCTATTATGGACATGGATAATCATAATAGAAAATGCAGAATGGGTCAGGGACAGAGG